ACAGTCTAGCCTGGGACTACGATGTTGTCATAACCACATTCAATCGTTTAAGTGCAGAGTGGGGCCCTCGTAAGAAAAGTGCATTGATGCAAGTGCATTGGCTTAGAGTCATGTTAGATGAGGGGCATACCCTTGGCTCAAGTCTTAGCTTGACAAACAAAATGCAGATGGCAGTTTCATTGATGGCTTCAAACCGTTGGATATTGACTGGAACTCCAACTCCTAATACACCCAACAGTCAGCTGTCGCATCTTCAACCATTGCTCAAGTTCCTTCATGAGGAAGCTTATGGGAAGAATCATAAGTCATGGGAAGCTGGGATTCTTAGGCCTTTTGAAGCAAAGATGGAAGAAGGACGATCTCGTTTGTTGCATTTACTTCATAGGTGCATGATTAGTGCAAGAAAGGTAGATTTGCAGACTATTCCACCCTGCATCAAGAAAGTTACTTTTCTTGATTTTACAGAGGAGCATGCAAGAAGTTACAACGAATTGGTAGTTACAGTGCAGCGCAATATATTAATGGCTGACTGGAATGATCCTTCTCATGTTGAGAGTCTTTTGAATCCAAAACAGTGGAAATTTCGAAGTACAACTATTGGAAATGTCAGACTATCTTGCTGTGTGGCTGGGCATATAAAAGTAACAGATGCTGGTGAAGATATTCAAGAAACTATGGATATTCTAGCTGAAGATGGTCTAGATCCCACGTCTGAGGAGTATGCTTTTATAAAATATAATCTCCTTTATGGTGGCAACTGTATAAGGTAATATTAGTTGTTGTCACTCCTGCCACAAAATTATAAATTTGCCAGAAAAGTTTGCTTACTGATTATTGATTGCATTTTATTTTATTAGATGCAAGGAATGGTGTCGGTTACCTGTCATTACACCATGTAGGCATCTTTTGTGCCTTGATTGTGTTGGTTTGGACAGTGAAAGGTGTACATATCCTGGCTGTGGTCACTTATATGAGATGGAAACTCCGGATGCACTAACTCGGCCAGAAAATCCCAATCCTAAGTGGCCTGTTCCCAAAGATCTTATTGAGTTACAACCCTCATATAAACAGGCAAGCTTGACCCTCAAGACAAGTTTAACCATTTTCATTTTGCTTTTTGTTTTTTTGGGACCAACTTCACCAATGTTTGCCTTTTGGTTTATGCAGGATAACTGGGATCCTGATTGGCAGTCGACATCTAGCAGTAAAGTCGCCTATGTTGTACAGAAATTGAAAGCACTGCAGGAAGCTAATAGCAATGTTGATTGCCCTCTGGATGACAACAATAATGCCATGTTTGGTTTATGCAGGATAACTGGGATCCTGATTGGCAGTCGACATCTAGCAGTAAAGTCGCCTATGTTGTACAGAAATTGAAAGCACTGCAGGAAGCTAATAGCAATGTTGATTGCCCTCTGGATGACAACAATAATGCCATGTGCACTGACAATTTAGTTTGTCTGTCTGAGATGAGCAATTCAAAAGGACTGAGGCAAGTTCATGACTTTAAAAGGACCACCAAGACTCATGAAACAAATTTGGAAAAAGTTTTGGTATTTTCTCAATTTCTTGAGCATATACATGTTATTGAACAGCAGGTGACTATTGTATACCATACCCTGTTATGGATTTGTGTCGTTATGTGTGTTTGTACAAGTAATGGGATTTCAACTTCATTCTTTTTTTGTCAGTTGACCATTGCTGGTATTAAATACGCTGGGATGTATAGTCCAATGCATTCTAGCAACAAGGTACATGTTTTTTCCTCTTCTATTATATATTTTGTTTATTGTCGTATGCTCTTAGGTAATTCAAATTCTTATTTTTTGGTGTAAAATTAATTTACTTTCATTGGTTCAGATGAAGTCACTGGCGACGTTCCAGCATGATGCTAGTTGCACGGTTCTTTTGATGGATGGAAGTGCTGCACTGGGTCTCGATCTGAGCTTTGTAACACATGTATTTTTAATGGAACCAATATGGGACAGAAGGTTATCATTCTCAAATTCCTAATATCATGTTTCTATTTTTTTTTTCTAAAAAAAATATCACATGCCCATTTCACAAAAAATAAATAAATAACAACTCTGCTACTTGGAAAAGAACTTTAACTTTCTGTTCTAACCTGCCTATTTCACAGATCAAAGCTATTTATTTGATTCACTACATAGTTACTTTAATAGTTTATAAATACCATAGTCAAAATGTTTCCCACATGACACTAATTTGTTCTGTTGGTTGAAACTTCTTTAGCATGGAGGAACAAGTTGTTAGTCGTGCTCATCGGATGGGTGCTACTCGTCCAATACACGTGGAAACTCTTGCAATGCGCGGTACAATTGAAGAGCAAATGCTGGAGTTCTTACAGGTAAACTCTAGCAATGGTTTCAGTTCGTAGTGTTTAACTTGTGAGCTATATACTTACTTATGTTGCTTCAGGATGCTGATGAGTGCAGAAGATTTTTAAAGGAGGAGGTTGGAAAATCTGACCCTAAAGGGGCACGAACTCGCCGTTCATTACATGATTTTGCTGAGAGCAATTATCTGTCTCAAATTAGCTTTGTGCGGACAAATCCTATGTAAAAGGTTTGTGCATGATGTTTTATGGCATATCATTGTGCTAGATCTCTGTGTAGTCATAGCTTGAATTAGCATAAAAATACACGTGCTGGCATTGGGACAGCAATCGTGGTTGACATTTGTGTTTTGTGAGGATAGTTTTATTGTTGGAAGTTTTCCCTCCCTCCCCTCTGTCTGTTGGATATGGAAAAATCTAGAAATATAACTTTATGTGGTCAAATTTGGTAAACTCAAGGCATACATGCTTCTTGATGAGCAAAGAGTGGACTCCAGTATTGCACTGATCTTGCAAGTCCCGGCTCCACCCCTCTGTCTTCATTTAAAAAAATAATTGTGATCTTACTGTTGAGTGTACTATGTATGGGTTTTTATCTACTCTAGATACTCAACAGTGAGATCACAGTTAAGTATTTCTAATCACAAGGTGGTCGCTATATGGAGGTGTGCGGCCTTAGCTCTTATATGGACTGTTTGGTTGGAAATGAATAGATCTTTGATGCCAAGGAGGAAGTGGAAGCACCTTGGGATAGGATACGTTTTTTGTTTCTCCCTGGGCATCTTTGTCCAAACATTTTGGAGATATTCCATTTCAGTATAGTTTCTCTTGATTGGGGAGTTTTGACTGGAATGTAATTTGTCATTTTATTGGAAAGTTATTTGTTGCTATGAGAAGACGATTTACAGAACAATTAACTTGGTGTGAAATATTGTTCTTTCAGCTTGCATCAATCTTTCCTTTTCTTGTTTTCTTTTATTTATTTATCTATTTTAGTGTGGCCATGTATATGTAAACAACATAGGATAATCAAATGGGTGATTTTATATTGTGAATGAAATAATTGCTAACCTGTGTTTGTTTGAGACATTTACCAGAAGTTCTTCAACGTAGCATGCTTATTTAGTTTCTATCGACTTATTTTATGGTTCGGTGTGCTCATTTATTCTTGTTCCCTGTCCAGGAATTTGACCGTCATGTAACATAGTCGTCAAGAACATTTGACGACTTTGGCATGGATAACCTGCTATTTTTGCTGATATCTTGTCGATGCCGTTTTCCCTCAAGAAGTCCCGCAATTGAATCAAATGCAGATCTTAGGACTCGTGGAAAATCATCTTGTGCGAACAACTGGTGATTGGTCTTTGACCAACAAAGCCAACTTCGCTTCAGTTTTGGTTTTGGGAGCATCTTCTCGGTATTTTTTGATTGGGAATTGTATCATAGTAGTATGGCTTCTACAAGTGCTCAGGTCTAAGTTATACATAAGGCCGTAAAAGAAAATGCTTGTAATTTTTATTGCCGATTAAATTTATTGTTTCACTCCATGATCCTAAATCGTTCCAAGGCTTTTTGCGTGTGGGTAAGCTGGAGTGCCGAAGCCCAAACAAAATCCTCAAAATATTAACCGTCCGTGAGATGCTACAGTGAGGGGAATTTTAGTGGGGGTTGAATGAGGCTTCAATCCAACCATTCAATCATTCAAAAAGTTTAAGTCCAATATTTATTCCCACAACCCCCTCATTATAGCATTTCTGTTTAGCGTTCCCACAAAAGGAAGAAGATCGACAAGAACATGACAACCCGGTAAATTCTTACTTATAGATTGACTTGAGCCGTTCTAAAATGAAAAGAAAAAACAGTTTTTAAATTTTTTGTTTTTTATAGATAAATCAAACTTAATAAAACAGTGCATAGAAACAAAAGGAGAAACCTTTTAACATTTTTGTATTACAGTCTCTTACCTATACGAACTTGAGACCTCTAGTATGCAAGTTAAGGTTTTTTTCCACACGGCTAGACCCTGTTGACAAGACTTTCTTTTTTTAATTTATATATTTCATGCCAAATGATAATTCTAGTTGTAAAACTGAATTCAAGCGCCAGGACGTTTTACCCTCTTAAATAAAAAAGGCAGTGCTTAACAACGACATCCTCTTCTTTTGCAGATCGTTTCTTATTCTTTGGTAGCCTAAATACGTAGGTTTCATGCATAGAGGGATTAAATTGAGACAATTTTTTTGTGGTTTCCCAAGGTATCCCCAGGCATGGCCCAGGCCTAATCCTCCGAGGTACTGTCGGGCGCATATGCGGGGACCTCTCCCAAGAAAGTTTTTTGCATCCACAAGGGCTCGAACCCAAGACCACTTGCTTAAGCGACCAGAACCCCTTCCACTCTGATAGTTTCAAGAATGAGGAAATAGGGCATCAAAAATCTGACCCAAGGAAAAGTAGGGGATCAGAAAATCACCCTGTAATTCATGGTAACCAGCAAAAGAAAAGTTTCTGAAACTTTTGTATTTGAATTTTTTTTTTCTTCTTTTGAGCTTTTTATGTAAATAGTTCTTCAGTAAGGATTTACAAGGAAAGCTACTTTGAATTTAACTCGAGTACTTACAAAGAATATACATGGCCTACCTACTCATATCACTTCCCTCCCCAAAAGAAGAAAACAAAAAAAAAAAGAAAAAGAAAAAGGCATAGGTGAGTTGACAATACATTCAAGGGCCAAAGAATAAGAAGGGTAACGACAAAATTCAAGGGAAGAGAGAAAAAAAATACCACATTGCCTCCTTAAAATGAAAAACTAAAGGTGCAATATGCTAACCATTCTCTCTCCCCATGCCCTTCCACTTATATCTTCACATTACAAGCTCAATGAGCTAACCCTTCTCTCCCCATGGGAATACCCGGTTTTTCAACCACCGGAACATTGTACTGCTGATATACTCTACCCCTATTTGCCGCCCACCACTGTTCTGCTTGTTTCTCACTGAACCGCTTTCGACTGACAGAATTCAGGCACTTACAAGTTAGTCATTGTCAATTAAATACACGGCAAAAAAAAAAATAAATACAAATACAATTTGATAATATAGGCAAAAATTATAGTTAACACAGATGTCATCTTCCGTTACTAAGAAAATACATAGGCCTTTTAAGCAAAGGACATACAGGAACCCGTGAAGAAGAGTTACTAGCAGCAAGATGAAAAGAAATAAAAGATAAAGGTTAACATAGAGATGTGATTAAATACACACCAACTTTTAGACTTAAAGGTTATATTCTTCGATAATGTGAAACTTCAAATTTATGAATGTCAAAATGAAAATCTAAAAGCATGAGCAGGCCCTGAAATTTACCATGTATGCAATACATAAGTTGTGGAATTTTATTAGTTCCATTAGCCCTGGACTAGATTAGACAGCTCCTAATTTGTGGTATGCGGACATGCATATGCATACAATGACAACATTAAATCCCACCTTGGGAAACCGACAAAAATTTATTTCAGAACAGATTTAGGAGAATCTTTCGTTAAAAAGTGACTGCATGACATAATCACAAAAAGAGACATACCTGAAGCGGACACGCTTGAGATCTTTGACTCCTCCAGGCAAGGAAACAAGGGTAATATATACACCAGGCTCATCTTGCTCAACCCATTCAACCCCATGTGTTGCTTCAGTTTTTGTTCCCCTGTTCTTATGCCTAGCTGTTGCTTCTGAATGTGTCACTTCAGTGTGATTTGAAGTGTGGTTATTGCAGGACTTTGGCAAGTCAGAAATCGTCAAGCTGTTTGATACAACTGAATATGGTTCATGGAAAGTCAATGGACTGCTTGTTTTCTCAATGGCTGCAGTAGAAACTTCATGAGTGGGACTGGGAGAGTCTAATGGACGAGTATCAATGTTTCTTGCTGTTCCAATCGGTAACCTTTCAGCCATTTCCTTTAACTAACATAAATAAACAAGGCATTAATTCAGATTGTTGAGACAATGATATTTCAGCTACATGGTTAAGTGGCTATTGTACTGTCAAAAAGAATGTTATACTATCCTGGAACTCAAAAGGCTTAGTGAAGTAAAGGGTAATATGAAACGTCCTACACATGATAGGGACCGCACTGCGCTTCTGAAAAGGGATAAAGTTGCAGTTTTCTTAACAACTACATAATAATTTTGACTTCCGTTTGCACCTTGTCCTGGATTAGTACGTCCTAATAGAATTGCCAAATTATTGGTTATAAACTATAAATAAGGCAGATGAGTTTAAAACACTAAACATCCTTCCTAACTACAATACCACTCTGTTTCAAACACTAAACATCCTTCCTTATGCATAAACACTATAAACATGAGCATGAAACTTACTTGGGCTGTGAGCGACTTAATTACTTCCTTCGCTGCTTTACATTTTGTAGTTTCTTCCCCTGCTACTGTGAGAGCCTCCTTCAACTGTTGGGTAGTTCGTTCCATCTCAATATCTTGAAGTTGAGCTTTACGAGTAAGATCTTCAACCTACATAATGAGATTGATTAGTTGAAAAGCACAAATTTAGACTCATCCATGTAATTTTGCATGATGAAGGCAAGGGAAAAAGAATAAAAAGCACAGATGGTGTGGAAATTGTAAACTTGCATAGACTCCGATCTACCAGAAATATGAACTCTAGAAACCTAATCTCCATGGTAAGTTAGCATGAAAGAAACAACTGTAAGAGAACAAGAAAAGATAGTTGAGATACTTTGTTGCTTTTCATAGCCCAAAAATTTGTTATATAACTATAAGCATCATAGTTATTACCCACTAGTACTACAACCTTTTCTCTTTTTTTTAACAGACCCACTACAATTAGTAATAAAGACAGATATCACCTCAGGAGTTGCAAACAACATTAAATTGTTACTTAAACCGGCTGGGCAGGTTATCCTCAGGACAAAGTGGATTTATTATTCTTATTTTTTTACCAACTTGGATAGCTATATACTGAACAGCAGAAGCAACTTTCCACACAAATTGACATGAAATAAATAAATAAAAACAATCAATATACCTGAGCTCTTAATTTAAGAACTTCTTCACTCAGACTGTCATTTGTCCTTTTAGCATCATCCACAACTTTTGGCAAAGTAAGCCCTGAAAGAGCTGGGGTTGGGGTTGTTGCACGAGGTGGACTAGACCGTCTTGATGTTGGTGATGTTGCTCGGGATGCAATTCTGGATCCAGGAAGCGAAGCTGAGAAAAACTTTTTGGATGATCCAAACATTGGGTTGAAAGATTTAGTCGCATTGACTGCACGGCGCTCAGAAACTCCATTTGGAATGGGAGTAACGCAATTGCTGCTAAAATCCAGTTTCTTGTTTCTTTTGGAAGATCCACTTTCCATTTCCTTAACATTGTTTTCAATTAGTTCATTGAATCCCTGATTCATACTTCCTCTTCTACTAAAAGCAGGCCCAGATGAAGAGTTGGTTTCGGTTGCCTTCCTAAGTTTGCTAAAACAGTTGTCACAGACACGATAAGGTTTGTTTGGGTTTGGTGCCATGGAAGCCTTGAGACACTTTTTGCTGCTGCATGAATGGCATAACACAAGTCCACAATTATAACAATTGTGTCTTTTTCTTTTAAAATTAAATGGAAGGCGACAGCCAGAACACATCGAATGATCAATACCAGAGACCCATTTATGAAGACAGATAGCTGCTGTAAAGTTAGTGCCACAAACAATACTCTTGACTTGTTTGTCTTTCAAAGCCTCAACTAATGTCGGCGAAAATTTATCTTCTGTATCCCCAAGACCTAATCGACCATTTGCACCCTTTCCCCAAGTGTAAACTTCAGTTCTCGAAGTTAAAACTGCAACATGATAAGCACCACAAGCAATTTCTTCAACAAAACTCTTCAGTAGCTTTCCCTCCACACGGCATGGAAGTTTCCCATCAGCTTGAGGGACCCCTAGTTGACCAAAAACAGGGCTTCCCATTGTGTAAACATGGCCCGTAGTTGTAAGTGCAACAGTCAGACTTTGTCCGCAAGCAACTTTACAGAAGTTGGGTTCAACCAAAGCAGCAACACAAGTGGGCACAAGTCTTGCTTCCTTATCACCATGTCCAAGTCGACCTTTATCTCCATCTCCCCATGTAAAAAGCTTTCCAGAAGAACAGTTGCTGGAACTTGATGACCCCATCATAACTTCAATCACTGCTGCAGTATGCCAAACACCACAAGCTACTCGCACAGTGCGGAGACCTTTAAGGGACTCAACCTCCCTGGGTACCGGAATACTCTTTCGATCCCCATGACCTAGAACACCAAAAGTTCCGTCTCCAAAAGTAAACAATTGGCCAGCAGAGGTCACAACAGCTGTGTGCCATGGTCCACAAGAAACTGATGAGACGTGAATCCCCTCTAAAGGTCCATTTAGCTTTTTTGGGACCCATTGACTTGATTGAAACCCATGGCCAAGGAGCGAGAAATTGCAAGTACTGCCACCCCATGTGTACATGTCACCGGAAAGTGTTACAGCACAAGAGTGGTATTCCCCGCATGCTAAAAATTCAACATTGATATTTTTAAGAGCATCTATGAGCTTTGGATGCGAAACATCAGCATCCACACCATGTCCAAGTCTGCCTCCTAACTCTTCGCCCCAAGAAAATACCTCTCCTTGCTTGGTTACGAAAGCAGCATGTCGTCCACCACAAGCTATACTTTGAACATCAAGTACTACAGCAGATTCCAAGACTTTAGGCACAGAAGAGTCCATCTTACAACTAGAAGAACTTCCAACTCTATGTGATCCTCCACCCAGAAAGCAATCACCAATGCCTTCCCCCCAAATGAAAACATCCCCTAAAGCATCACCGTCATCATGACCAGAGCCTTGACTTGATGAGCTAACAGCACTTGATAAACTTACTCTAAAAGCATCCACACCTGCACCCTTTATTCGTCCATTCATTCCATCTGAACCTCCTGAAGACAGAGACTGGACCGAGCCACAAGCAGCATCTGAAGGAAATGGAATTTTTGGAGGCAGGGCATATAACATGACATCTGATAAAGCCTTCTCCAAACCAACTTTTGGAGGGCTTTCAAATGTAGCTTGAATATGAAAGGGTTCCACACCATCCTGCATCAGTTATAAGAAGACTATTTACTTGTATATTACAGTTTTACACATGGAATTAACAAGAGAGGCAAAAATAGAACACCTTCTGCGAACTATCACCACTACAAAATGGAGAGCTCAAAGGAGAACTTCTTTGGGTATGTGATCTCGGACTATTTGCTTCAGATGTAACTCCACTTCTTGACTCTGCTCTCCCCTTCTGATGAAGGCCACGTGATATTAATGATTTTAGACCAGTAAACCAAACTTCAGCTTCATCTTTATCCTTGCATATCTGGCATAAGCAATAAGTAAATGAAAGTTATAGAAGGGCATAGAGGGTGTGGTAGGCACCGAAAGTTATACATAGAAAAGTTAAACGTACAGAAAGAAATATATTGACAAGAGAAATGAAAGTCGCGAAAGCAAAACATAATTTATCGTATAACAGTTTAATATAAAGGGGAAGACTAGTTGAGCATAGAAAATAGAATATCCAAGAATCAAATACAGCAGAAATCATCAACAAAGAAGATGCTTACCAAATCTAAAGACCTATCATTATACATAAGAGAAAATGATTGATATTCCTTTTCAGGTCGAGGATACCTCTGAAAGGTTTGCTGCAGTGATATCAAATAAAAGAACGTTCTGTTAAGTCATAGCTGAGAATAAATGAGAAAGCGAATCAAACAAGTATTACAGCATTAAACATCCTTATCAATAGGAGACCCAACATTGTCCAGAGGAATATGGTTTCAGAAATATATAAAGATAAGTCTCCGGGGCAAAAAAAAAAAAAAAAAAAAAAAAAAAAAAAAAAAAAAAAAAAAAAAAAAAAAAACCATAAATTCTGACGCCACACAGTTTGGAAACATCTAATTTACGAGTTACAGATTAGTCATGCAAGTACAAGGTCTAAGCTTAGAACCAGGTTAAAACACCAGCCTAACCCCACCATCCAAGCCACAGTGTAAGGTCCCTATTCTTTCTTTTCCTGAACTGTATAACTACTCAAACCACAGCCTACCATGCAACCATATATGATAGTCTAGACACGCATAGGCGAACACATACAATATACCATATCAGAGACTATAACCACTCCAGATGATGATTATGGTTCTCTAACAAATGAGATACAGAGGTTTCCAGCATGAGTCTTCCATAGTTGATGTACTGATTCCAAGCAACAAAACAAGCAACATTGACGAAAGAAATATGCCCAAAAACTTGCTGAACCTTTCCTCTTTCGTCTAGCCAGAATAGATTCAGTAATTGAAATGTTCTGTTATGGCATATAATTCTTGGACTTTTTTTCACTTCTTTGAGGCCCTCAGATGATTAGCAATAAGGCAATTAACCTAGGTGTAATTTAGTTCTGAAATCGTATGAATGGAAGATTGAAGCCTAATAGTTTTCATACCGCATTTAATTATGCTAAAGCCTTGCTCCTAACTTGGTCAATGTTTAGAATAAGCTAGACAATGCAAATGAAATCAAAAGATACAAACCTAAAAGCATCAGATGTGAAATTATCACATTCTATTGATATATTCTTGTCATCTATAATTGGCATATTTATTGCAGTATTCACCATTAAGGAGATGTAGGAGATCTCAACACGAAGAACTTACTGTTCGCTGACCAGGTATAATTCTGGAGACGTGGCTTAGTTTAACATATTTCTCCTCTTTCCCTGAGTACCATATTAGAGCAGATTCATCCTGAAAGAAGTAACACGGAAGAACATTCAAAACCTTAGTAAAAAAAGAAGGAAATTCACTGCAAGATTTCTCTGCTCGCTACATCACAAGAAACTGCGATAAATGACCCATACAAAGTCTGATTATCAGATCCGTTAAAGCTTAAGAAAGTGATCATAAAAAGTATAAGAATTTTATAAGGCCATGTAGTTCCGAACAAAAGAGCTTCAGATAAATAATTACTACAACATCAAGAATGCTAGATATAGGCATGTGCAAGCATCCAACATTATTTAGGACTGCAAAACATCAGGACCAACATTATTTAGTTCAGAATAAAAGGCCTTGTTATGTCATTAACTTCATGCTTTTTTTCTTTTACTTTCAATGTCATATAAGTAGCACACAAAAAGGTTTGCATGGTGTTCAAGTGCCTAATTTAGCATGGGGATCATATTTGAAGAAGCAAACTCAATGAAGGTTTCAAACTCTAACCCTCCGTTTGGACGAAGGAATTGAAAATTACATAGAATTCTAAAACGACGTAATTTAGATTTCCATCATTTCAATTTCTGGCAATTGAAGATTTCAGTGTTTGGATTTATGCATGTCGAATTTTGTAAATGGAACTATGAAAATTGTGAAATGACGCCTATTTTTGTGAAAATTAAACTCAGGAAATTGATGCCCAATTTCCACGATGTTTGGATTTATGTGAAATGACGTCATTTAATAAATTCCACGCTTAAGTTACCAAACAAGGGAATTGTCAATTTCTCCTTTTAAATTCCCGACTTTTAGCTACATTCTGAGTTATTTTCCCTCATCCAAACGGAGGGTAATGTTGGTAAAAACATAATGCACTAGAAAACCAAAGCTGATTACTTCCACAGAAAGTAATTTGAGGAAGGGTACTAACAAATCTTGTAGTCATTCCTTCTCCACTACACTCCTGTATTTTTTCTTTAAAATGAAAAAAATTGTTGGGGTGTTTCATTAAAAATTGGTTCCACCTATTCTTCTATTTGCTATCCTCTTCTGAGGAACACTTGCTGACATTTCCAGTGATGAAAAGTTTGTCAGAGTATGAAATAACTCATTCCACAAAGCAAGTTTTTAGCCAACCCAATATAGATACACGTAAAAAATAGAAAAGAGCACCAGTTTCTTATGTATCTGTATCTTCTCAAATTACTGCAAATATTGCTGGAATATCAAAGGCACTGCCTAATGAGTGCAGAGATAGCAGATATTTCCTTTCACCTAATGTGGCCTGCCTTGCAGCATACCATATATATATCAAATAATTTTTTTCTTGCTAGACTGTGAATGAGGACTGTTGGTGCGGTAGAAAGTGCGGCCCTGATTCACAGTCTAGTAACATGCCAAAAATGCGACAAGAGACTATTCCTCTATATATAATTCTTATACATTTTAAAGCCATCAAATATTTCACTGCAGATCCCTTTGACATACCTTTAGTTGTAACATAAACTAAGTGAAGCAAGAAATAATTAATAAATATGCACTAATCAACTTGAATGCAAGAGCAGCTACTCATAAAAACTCAAATTTACATTTGAAAGTCCAGCATAAAGAACGATAAGCAATAAAGAAAAATATGCATGCAAAAACATTAAGAAAGTACTTTAGTCTTCAAAGACATACATTGGACAGCCTGAAGGGGCAAAATTTGGGTTTTCCTCTGCGTCCATACTTGAGTAACTGTGCACCTTTTTTCAGAGCAGTGATGGCCTGCTTTGAAATGAGCAGAGAACATGAATTAGAACAAACTACAAATGTTCTCCAAACTGGTAACTGTATGGAAACAACAATACTAATAGAACCATAGAGCAAGAAGAATCAGTGGGGAATAGAAGACAGTACACTGTTTATACATCTTCTAAGTTCATTAAATATTAGCCAAGAGCTTTATTTGTGGCAAAATGGTTTCAACATTGAACTATAGTTTTTCTCATTCATTTTTCTCTGTCTTTGGCACAAACAAACAAACATGTGCGGCACATCATAATAGGAAATAATCCATGTAATATGGCAATGTAGACACGAAGGTTGAGCTATCTCCTAAGTGAATGCACAACTCCTTCAATATTCTGTAAGACGATCCAACAATAAATGCCACATGAGATTATGTTGATGAACAACACGTAATTCAGTGGCTGCATGCATTGCATCTCTCATCAACTATAAGACCTTGCAAAATTTATACAAAAATAACAACAACAAAAAACTATAAATATGAATGATGTTAACAATTCACAAAAATGATCATTAATGAAGCTTCTCATTCACTCATTAACTAACGCTTCCAACTTCAAAGGGGCAAAGCGTCAAGAAAATAAATTAAAACAAATAAACAATCAAAAAAAAATTCCAAAGTGAATGAAAAATCACCAAGTCAATGTCCCTTTCGAGTGGGCCCGCCTTTGCCTGATCCGCAGTCATCCTCTCCATGCGCAACATCAACGAATCAATCTCCCTTTCCCTTCCGAAACCCTAACTTCCATTGCACCCAATACGCCTCCCATTGCCTCCTTCGACAGCTCCCCTTCTCTCTCTCTCTCCCTCTCGTAGAGAGACTCAATCACAGCCGTTGATTAAACTGCTTCACGGAGATCAATCACTGATCGAATTGAAGTTCATTTCCGAATAGATGCTCAATTTTCTAAGGCTTCGCAGCTCAAAATCGAGCTCAAAGATGAGGAACGAACGATAACAATGGCGGCTTAATAGGACTGAGTTTGTATCCCTAAACGACGAGCCAATGTGGCCAAAACGGCTGTAGGAATTTGGTGATTTCCAAGATTCTCGGCTCGTTTACTTCGAGGCTCTGTGTTTGTATGGGAGAGAAATTTGGGCTCTGTAGAAAAGGAAAGAGAGCCAAAAAGCGGGGGAAAATAGTGAGAGAGAGAGAGAGGGAGAGAGAGAGTGTGTATCTGAGTGAGTGATGGTGTCGAAAGTGATTGATTGATCCGGTGGGAGACTGAGACTGTGGCGTTGGCTACTCTTTTTTTTTTTTTTTCTTTTTTCCATTCTTTTTTTGTGTTTTTATTTTCTAGCTGTGAAGTCAACTGCTGACTATTGTGGTCAATGAGCCATTCACAAATTGCCACGGCCGCATGAAACAAGGCGGAACATTACGCTTTTTTATTTTGTTTTATTCTGCTTTGTTTTTTTTTTCGGCAACAACAACAAAGAGTGACAAAAATGCATTTTACCCACTAATAAATTAAAAACAATAACTTTTTTTAAGAAGAGAAATTTGCCGAAATAGCATCTTCACTTTTAGGAATATGCGTGATTATTAATTGAATTTACGACTCACTGATCATTGCATTCATTTGGTAAGCTCTGCTATTGGATTTTCCAAAGCATGCCTTCTCTTTCGATGAGTTTATCTTCAATGTCATCAATTTGTTGGCCTAAACAACCTCAGCTAGACAAGTGTTGTAACTTTAGCAAAAACAGCCGAGAGCTCTCTAGAGAGCTCTCTTCCTCCTCCTCCATTTTGAGAGTCCTTGGCTTCTCCCCACCCGAAATGGGTGTTTTTTCCCTGAGCCTTGTCTCAGATCTGGGGCTCCTTGCCTCTACTTCGGTTTCCTTTGATTTTTTTCTGTTTTTCCCTAAGGTAAGCCCACTCTGTGAGACCCTTTATCTCTCATATCTCCCTCTCCTTTCTTCCCCAGCCACCTTCACTTTTCACCTTCCGCTTCTTACATCTATCCTCCCTTCATCACTTCTCTGATATGTAGCCGTCCACACATGGCCAGCGACTTCGTCTGGTCGCCAGTTCTCAACCACCACCGTTTGCTCCTCGGTTCCGCGTCCACTGCTCTCGTTGTTCTTCCTCGATGGCGTGTGGTGGTCCGTGGCTGCGATTAAAGTGCATACTGCACTTGACTCTTGGATTATGGGAGCGCTTCCGCGCGAGTGGCCTGCTCACCCCCATCTTCCGTTGGCCTCTTTGATACCCCCTGGTATCGGTTACTTCTCCTTGGTGGTGGTGGATCTGCTCTGGTGGGATTGTTGGCATGCTATGTGCGGCTGCTCCTGTGTTTCTAGATCTAGGGTTTCTTTGTTAATGTTGTATGGGCTTTTGTGTTTATTAGGTTATGTTTCTCTGGGCCTGCTTTATTTGTTGGTGTTGGGCTGCATTTGAAATGAGTTTCCTCAATTTGTAATGTTTCCCACTATTAATGAATACAATTCCCTTGACCACAAAAAAAAAAAATAATAATAAATAAGGAATTGTGCTACTTCCTTATTGCCTCCCACATAAGTCCCATCTTCTACACAAGCAAGTCTTTTGCTCTTAGATCTACAGCAAATTCTCCCCCATACATATGACTTATTTAATATTTCTTCCCCCCAGCAAACCTTGGTATACATTGACTTAATGCCAACTTATTTTTCTCTATTATGTTGAAGATTCTAAGACCAACAGTATACCTCCAATGTTGACAAGATGCCCTTCTATTAGCCATCTGAATCATAATATACATCCTTATTCTCTCAAGGCATGTTAGGATTGGATTATCCCTTGCATCCATAATCGCTGCATTGAAGCTTTCACATAGGTTATTCAACAACAAATCACACTTATAATGTGTTGCAAAATGAGATCTTGACCAATTTTTTGCTGGCCTCTCAATTAGCCACCCCCAAGCATCTGCATCCTCCTTCTTCATATTATCCATCTCTGCTTCCCACCAAGGCAATGTGGTTGCCCTCGCTGAATCATAATATACATCCTTATTCTCTCAAGGCATGTTAGGATTGGATTATCCCTTGCATCCATAATCGCTGCATTGAAGCTTTCACATAGGTTATTCAACAACAAATCACACTTATAGTGTGTTGCAAAATGAGATCTTGACCAATTTTTTGCTGGCCTCTCAATTAGCCACCCCCAAGCATCTGCATCCTCCTTCTTCATATTATCCATCTCTGCTTCCCACCAAGGCAATGTGGTTGCCCTCGCAGCAGCCCATAGCAAATGTTTCAGACCAAGTCCTGTGTGCTGGCCTCTGAAGTTGTTATACAAATGTCTCACGCACATTCTGTGTTCAGTATTTGGTATAACTGTTTGCATAGCAGGAATTAGCCCCTTCTGTTTATCACTTATAAACACCCATGCCAAACCATTTTGGATCCCCAAGTCTGCAATTAAGAGTTCTAGAAACCATATCCAACTACTTTTTCTTTCTATTTCAACTATAGCATAGGCCAATGGGAACATACCATTGTTCCCATCAACATCAACTGCAATTAAGATCTGCCCTGAGCAGGGTCCTTTTAAGTGGCAGCCATCAACACCTACGACAGGCCTACACCCTTCTAAGAAACCCTTTTTAGAACCAGCTAAACAAATATAAATCCGTTCAAACAATGCATCATCACCTGCTAGTTCAGTTTTAATTACCACACTACTTCCAGGGTTGGTCTTCTTAATTTGCTCTACATAATCCCTTAATCTCTCGTATTGTTCCTTGAATGACCTTCTTAGCCATTTTTTTTGCCCTATACACTTGGTTCTGTATAACGTTCATTGCATAGTGTTCTCTCACCTCATCTTGAAGTTGCCCCACAATCCAATTGGGATTTCTTCTCATCTTATCACAAAATCTTTGTGAAATCCATGTTGAATTAGCATATCTCAACCTGTCTACTCTGCCACATGTATGTTCAGCATGTATAGCCTTTACTACAAAAGTGGATTCCTCTTTATCAATCCTAGATGCATAAAGAACAAATGCACAGTTCCTAGATCCACGACACACGACCTTCACCCTCCTCTTGTCATTTTTATCAAATTTCAACAGCTTGCCGTTTACAAGGCATACTCCTTTATTGCTTCTTTCAAGTGCTCCCGATTTGCAAATTGCATCCCCAAATGAAACTCTAGATTTTTAAGGTCAGTAGCTCTCCTATATTGCTTGAACTTTGGTAGGCGAATCCTCTACTTTTTTGTCACATGTCGACTGCTATTCTCATCATCTGAGGTGTTCCCATCAAAATATAAAGTATCAGAATCTGCCCCATCATCAGAAATCTCTCATGGCCCTTGTGTTACAGTCTCAACATTCGCTTTTTCATCACAAGGCATATTGATGTCTACATTACAACCTTTGTTTGCCTCCTCATCTTCACTAAACTCATAATCACTATCCACAAACTCTGAATCTTCTTCTTCTTCATCAACTGCAGCTTCACAATCTCCAAGCGAAACAACATGCTCATCAGTATCTAAAGCCTCATTAACCTCCTTCATTTGTTCTTCATTAAATCTCCCATAGTCGTACTCTTCACTCTACAAACTAGGCCATTCCACAGATGTTTTAATCCATGTCTTTTCACTTCTTTTTGTGTCAGTATAGTATAACACTAACACTCTATTACTTGTTATGCAACCAACCATGTCACATATAACACTGTCATTGTCAATGAGCTTTACATTAGTTTCACCATTACTGTCATACATCTTACAATATATTTGCAAACCTATCTCCTTCTTAGTTAGGTCCACTTCATATCCTAACGCTATACCTATTTTCCTTAAATCCAACAATGATAGATAATCATCCACACAATTGTCCAAATAACACAATGTCCCCCCTTATACACCCCATCTTGTACAACACCCTCATGGTGAATTTCCAAAGTGCAGAACTAACCCTTATCTGCAAATGAAGCAGTAATCTCAGTTCAGTATATTCAACACCAATTTTTAAAATCTCTGCTCACCTAAATAAGGACAAATCACACTTCATTTAAAGCAAGGATAGTACTTACCAAGTACGCTAGTGTGTGTAACTGTGCAATCAATTGACACAAATCATTCCAGTAGGACCACAAACCCTTAAATTCAACCAAGAATAGTAGGACCAAGTATGTACTCAATGTCTGACCAAAACACAATATCTGCATTCAATGTTGACATAAAGACAAAAGAAAACAGTTTTTTATTTGCCCAAAAGAGAGACAATAACAAAACCCTCAATTGCTGCATAGTTGGAGCAGACACACACTTCTGTCCAAAACAACATAAAGCAATTAACATATAAAAAAGCATTTCTTGTACTTCCATTAGCATCGCATAGTGTACATGGGGGGGGTCTCCAGACGACCTGAATTCAAACTCCATCAAAGTTGTCGACAACACCTATCGACCCCACAATGAGGTAACCAACACGTATCGACCCAGACGACCTTAATACACAACGACCTAGACAAAATCAACTCAAACTTTTCGTCCAATTCTTCAGCTTTTTTTCTTTTGTCTGAAAGCTTCAGCAAAAACCCTTTCGTCTGAAAGCTTCGTCTTTTTGACTCTTCAGCTTTTTCGTTTCTATTTGGTTTGTACCTCTGGTCAAAGTGATGTGTTATAACTCGTATCAGAGAGTCTATAAGAGTAAAAGTCTTTTTTGTCCCTCAAAACCAACCTGAAAAGACCCATCTACCCCTAAATTTCACGAAAAAATTGATGGAAGTAACGGTGGGACTAGTTGTCCAAACGAAACTAAAGTTAAAGGACCATGGGTACCATTTTGGAAATTGAGGTACTCAAATGCAAATTCGGTCCAAGTTGGGGGACTAATAAAATGATTAACCTTAAGCCTAGTATGAGATATTTCCTTTGGTTGAAAGATGGCACCATTCTTGTTTTCCATGTGTAGAGACCTGGAATTGATTTTAATCAAATCATCATTGCCATGCCACCTTGCATACTAGTAACAAGTGGTGTTGTGATATCATTGGCCAAAGGGGGATGAGTCACATTAGTCCCTTACTTTTCTATCTTATCTTTTGGTGGTGGTGTTGTGATATCATTGACTAAAGGGGGATGAGTCACATTATTTCCTTACTTTTCTATCTTATCTTTTGGTGGTTTAAAATATTATATATATAAATATTATTTGGTTGCATTTGTAGCCTCTCTTATATGTATAATCATTCCTTACTTCAATCATTCATTCCAATTCTTTAGAATAGATTTCTACCATTAAGTAGTGTTT